TCAGCCATCGCATCGCGAACGTGTCGTAGGACACTCAGTCTGGTATACAAGAAGTCATTGGCTTCTTTGCGGATGGTGAGGGGGCTGACATCAGCTAGCAGTAGCTGCGATATCAGTTGTGTCTAAGATTCGGCTATTTCTCCCCCACCAAGCCCTGAGCCATGGGATGGTGGCGTCATCGTCGAGCATTGCAGCAAATCGCACAGTGGTTTCGTCAGTTACAACATGTGTTGCACACTGTTGAATGCTATGGGATGGAAGGAGTTTTCGAGCTCAAATGTTGAGTCGAAGAGTTCCGTTTGACCTGCTTTTTCATGGCTGAACGCATGCGGTATTACAGCACAGTACCACACAACACGTGGAGCGCTGTCGTACTTAACACAAAGTACTCAAGTACGGAATTCGGGATAAAGCGATCGATAAGCCCTTGAAAATCATGTCTAGTGAGTGAAGATGTACGGCTTAGTGGAGCTTTATGGGAATGGCTCAGCATGTACAAGTGGCTGAGACTTATGGGAGCACTTGCACAACGTGTTCCCCTTCCGTATGCTTTGACAATTATCTAAAGAACGCGTCTAGCAATAATGACGTTATGACGCTTTTTGTGGACACAATTGCTACTGAAGTACTGTCAAATTGTTTCTCGACATTTTTTTCGCTTAGCTGGCTTGCCGGTGATCTTTGTATCGAGATAGACCTAAACTTTACACCTAAGTTTTGGCAAACATTGTCTAAGGTGCTGGGATCCAGATTTGATATATCCATTGCTGACCGTTCACAGACATATGATAAATAAACGCGGTGATTGCGCGATCCTGAGTACATTTGACTCCCTCACAAGCGATCGCAGTGTTGGTGCAAAGCTCTTCCACTCGAATTTGCGTACAATGATACAGTACTCGCGCGCTGGTCCATACGCAATCAGTACCACTGAAATGTAGCAACCTTTGAGGCCAATAAGCACTCTCGGGGCAAAATTCGATCCAACGTTATGATCTCTGACTGCCCATACTCAATGGTCGGAAAATTTTTGCTGTAGCAATTTAGCGGTGCATGATGAGTCAAAATTTCAAGTTACCACGTAATATATTATGAGCGATTTTTTTAACGTTGCTGCGACAATCATGATGGCACACAGGAATCTTTGGCTTGCTCAGCCATCCAGCACACAGGAATCTTTGGCTTGCTAAGCCATCCAGCACACATATAACGAGTCGGACCTTGTTGTGATCTCTATGGCTGTGTTTCGGCGTAGGGAATTGATATGGAGTGCGTACTTGTGCAGTGATAAGACGTAGACAATGCCTCATACTTAGCGAGATACCGGGAGATGTGGAACGGCTTGACCGTTATGCTTTTGGCGAGAGCGTAGGTGATGGTCAAGATTGTACGAAACACTGTCACCGTTATAATTAAAAACACCTCAAATTCCAAAATAAAATATGCTTATTAGAGCGCGCAGCATCTTATCGAAGGTATATCGGCGCCCGGTTGGATTTTTTTTTTGTATGGTTTATATTGTCAAGTACGGTAATACTGCCTTACAAGTTGAAGAACGTGCTACCGGCGTGATGGACGCTCGCAAGAGTTGGTACATATCGCATAGAATAACTTCTGGTGCACTGGGTGCATGAAGGCCTTTCGCTTCATGCATTTGGTCTTAAAATTAAATACAATGATTAATATCCCATTGTGGTTTCTATATTGCTGAATTAGGTTTGTTGGGGTACGCTTCTTGTTATGTTGTGTGTACACACCGTGCTGTAGTCCGAGAAGGCCCAAATTGCCAAAGTAAAGTACTGTTCTGAAGTATCATGACCAGTAATTGGTCCGATTGAGGGTGAGGAGACTGACAGCTACGTGGAACACGTGGGCATTATTTCCACACCGTACATAACGGATTTTATCATAACTCAAGTTGAACCAATACATCTAACACCATCCTAAGCTAGTTTAAACTTCTCTCGAATTGAGCAAACAAACTGCTTCTTGAGAGACTTTCGGTTCGGCACCCTGATGGTTGCCAGTGACCAATACTGTGTGCGTTGGTTAACGAGGACTTGAACATAGATCCTTGGGTGCGAAGTCTAAGGCAAATAACAGCCTCGTTGCAAGCTTGCCACGTTATATTTACATGTCTATGTGTCAGTATCTGTCTTTGAAATTGACATCACAGTTAATTTAAGATCGAACGTATTTGAACACTCTTCTAAAACTCGATGACATCTGGCAGCTCAGGCAAATTGATAAGTTTGGTTGGAACGGAATGTGCGTTAACACCAGCTGCTGCACGTTCTTCCGGAGTAGGGAGTTGTGGCCCAACTATCGGTTTTGCGGAATCCTGACTGGCTTGTGCGGCCTGAGGGCCTGCGGGCTTACCATACGATTTCATAGCGCTATGTCCAGCCATAAAACCCATATTAGGGAACAAAGACTGCAGTCCCACGGGTCCTCCGTAGCTATAAGGAGCAGTATAAAATGGAGGATAAGCGCCGAACGTTGCTGCAAGCCCGTAAGCTGGCATGCTTTGAAGACCGGCTGGATATGTTGGCACGAAAGGAGGCGGAACCACATGATACATCGGAATTGCTTGCCCAGCACCTTGGGTTGCAAGATTAGAAGTAGAAGTGGAAGCTGGAGTTGCTGCAGGTAGAAAGGCTGGAGCTGGAGCAGAATGTAACTCTGGGGAAGCTTCGGTTTGGACGGACGGAGAAAGTTGTTGGAGGGTCACTTTTGAAGCTGAGGGCAACTTATTAGCTGGCTTTGGTTCTGCAGGCTTTTCCACGACCACCAAAGCATGCGATACTTCAGTTTCAACACCTGCAACAACTGCAGACTCATCCAGACGCTGCGCATCGCGCTCTTCCTTTTTGTGGATTCGCTCAGCAAGCGAAAAGTACTTTTCTTTCTTTTTCGACTTCTTGCTATTCTTCCTGTCTTGGCGTTCTCGCTCCCGACGGTCCTCTTCCGCTTGGTTAATTTCCAACAATTTTTTAAGCTCTGCCTCTGCCTGACGCTGCTTCGCCTTTTCTCGCTGAAGCTTCTCTTTAAAATCACGACGCTCTTTCTTGCTGCGTTTCTCCTGTTCCTCACGAGTCTTGACCACCTCTCGAAGACGCTGTTTCTCGCGATGAGCACGAGCAAGTTCAGCCACTGCCATCGTCGTACGTTCCTCCTCTTCCTTTTCCTTTTCCTTTTCCTTTAAAAGACGCCTTTTTGCACGACGCTCTGCTCGAATCTTCTTTCTCTGCAGGCGCAACTCGTCAATTTCTGATTCCGTAGCATGAAGATCATCAACGGACTTCACTTCCACCTCTCCTTCCTCTAAAACAACGATACCAACATCTCTACCGTCAGCACTATCACTATTTTCACTGCTGCTCGCAATGCTTTTTCTTCGACTCTTAACAGTATGGCTGCTATGACGCCTTGAAATGTCTTCCACATGAACAATCTCCTCGCCTTCAACAACCATTGACTGATCCTCATCATACTCGTTAACGTCACTGTCATCACTAACCACAGATAGACGATTAGAAATATGGCTCTTTTTCGAGTGACGGGCATCCTTTCGCATGCTGGCAAGTCTTGCAGCAGCCATTTCGGCGTATAAGTCGCGGTTGGATTCTAGTTTTTGCGCACGTCGCTTCATCTTTTTCTCATTTTCTTTTTGGGCCTCGCGAGCAGCAAACTTCTCGTCAATAAACTCGGCATCATCATCGTCGTCACTTTCAGTAGCTTCCTTGACAACTACAGCGCCAAACCGACTGGCTCCTGCTTCTTCAAACAAAAAATCGTCAGATGCCAATGTCCTTGTATCACCATGCGCGTTCAGCAATTCATTCTCCAGTAACACGGGCTTGACATCATTCATGACCTCGTACTTAGACTTGATCTCATCGTCAGTCTCGCCGTAAAGTCCCCAGTCCGCAGGCTCACTTTTGTCACCATGATGCAGCTCCGACGAGGTGATTGATTCTCTAGACGTGGTCCTGAAGAGCCTATCATGGCTGGATAATTTCGCTTGGTCCTCTGAATCCGTAGAGAGATCGGCATCTGCGGTACTCTCGCATCTCGTCTTGCCCACTGAACCATTCGAGTATGTTCGAGGCTTTCCACTGTACGATGAAGAAACTACGCTCTGAGAGCGTTGAAGCGTTACGAGATTCCCGTTATTAACTACACGTTTACCGCGACGAGACTGGAGAGTCGATTGGTTTTTCATGAGCTCGACCCACTTGTTCTTGTCAACTGCAGACGGTGCCACACACTGAAAAAGCTTTTGATCACGTGTTTCAATGGCGAAAGCGTGTTGATAACGGTGAAATCCGGTCTTGCCGTCCCAATCACTTATGCACTTAATTTCGTAAATGCTCGAGGGTTTCTCGGGGTGAACATCGTAAGCCTTACGGCTCTTAAAGCTGCGAAGTATGACGCACTTGCGACCGCGAACGTCCATTTCCCATGTGGCCACGCAGTATCGATCGCGCATGACTGGCATCTTAGCCAAACGTTTTTTTAGCATTCCTTCCATGCATGAAGCACTTTGCAAGTCGCCTTCGTCTTGTAAATTATTAGTCGAAAGATTATGCCGGCGTTGCCTCCGACTTCCCCGTAGTTTTCGCATGTTTTCAGGTTCTTCCATTGACCCAACACGACGAATGAGAGGCAGTAGTAATGTTACAATGGGCTTGCACAGTTGACACAGGCAGTCTTTTCCAAGTGCACTGCCTTTAAATCAATTTTGAGTATCAGCTCTGTATTATATATATCTTGTTAATATTTACCCAATAAAGAATAAGCAAGAATTCAGTTTAATTAAAAGAATCCGTTTTTGGCTGCTTGTTCATGCATCAGCTCACGATATATCGCGTTGGCTATCAGAAACTTGCTACGAATCTTTTGTCGCATCGAACATTTAATTAATTAATTTAGAGCTGGTTTACGTACATACGGAACTGAGCTTAATTAAAATTTCCGAAGTCAAGACTCCATAATATAATTTACTGTCTGTCAAATTTAAGTTACAACAACAAATTTTTGCAATGTTATCATTAAAATTATCTCAGCAGGCAAATCTATCTATATCATGAGGATAAATGTTTAGCACAAATCATCCCTCGATTACCGTGTCATAAACAAAATGTCACTGTCATAGCAATCATTTTGAAAAATAAACCAATCATGCTTTAGTCCACATTTCACGTATATTTTTTGGGCGAATCGGCACTGTAAAATTTGCAAAGCTGTATCTTTCTTCAAAATAACAGATGGGACATATCATTGGGTTGCGTGGTACTTACTTTGGTAAAAAGTAAACAAGCACTGCCTGTGGCGGCAATGCACGATCGAACCCTCACTCGCTGTACACTGTGCTCTACTATGAAGTATGCTTGGTGCTGTCTTTGATTAATGTCTTTGCGATGATTGTGATGTTAAACTCACCCAAAAATGATAGTGTGCTTCGTCCTGATATAACCCATTATTTCAGGTTGCTTAGTTTAACCGAGTTGCATAAGCCGTCGTCTGCTCTATGAATATAAATATCAACTCTGATGATGAGCATACTCAATGCCGCGTTGGAGTCAACTGATTCGCACCAAGAAACAATTTCACTGTAACTATAAACCCTAAAGTTGCACTTTCAAATTTATGCGCGATTTTTTCGAAGAAAGACGTGTGTGTGCAAAGCAAAATGAAAATAGAAGAGGGTTTAGCTTTGGTCATACTGAATCTAGTAGCGAAGAGCCTCTTTGAACAATTTGTCATCTAATGCATAATTTGGTTAAGATTTCTTTGATTATGCTTCATATCCTTAAAGGACTGTATTTCTTAAAACGGGAAGAGTTGAGTATGGAAAGCCGAAGTCTTTTGGAAAATCGGAAGTTATGGGTTATATAAATATCACACTAGTCAGAAACTGAAGAAAATCCTGGTTTTAACCACTATGTCATGGTGCTGGGCGGGAAGGTGCTGCGCCAATCATCAGAATTTGTTTACTCAATTATATAGCACCATTCGCTGTTGGCACGCTTTTCGATGTTGTCTTGGCAACATTTGGACAAGCATTGCGGGCTTGTCTCTGGGATGCCGCTAACATTGATCAGTTTGCATGGTTTCATGTGCAGGAAGATTATATTCCGGCATCACACGGAATTGATGGTTATGGCAAAGGCGATACTTGCAAAATCGGAACTATCTGTTGGAATAAGGGGGGTCAAGTATACATTGATGAGACAGCGTGAAATTGATCTGTGTGATCGAGCCGCCATTGTAAGATTACAATTTGATACATTACGCCAAAACAATAGTAAAGGATTCGCATTCGCGCGGAGATTAGCGAGTGGTCACGAATGAGACTACTTCAGATGAATGAAGGCTTTTCAATATCGTGGAGATAAAGAAAGTTAACGCGAAAGCAGTTACCCAAATCCTCTGTAGAGAGTAAATCGTTAGTTTGTATTGTGAAAGTCAATAGCTCGGAGTCTAGCAACAGTTTGAATACAACATCTCAAACTTGATTTACACTGGTGTAACGAAATAACAAAGTTAGTTCCTGTTAACTTAAGGATGCGTAATCGCAATCGTTTGCGAGTCGCATAGCGAGTATTCACAAAAAAAAATAATACTCGTGAAAAGTTAATCCGATTGAGTTGGACATAACAAGCTAAGTCATTTCAAAGGCTACTGTAAACCGAAATACTTGAGAAATGGCTTGAGAACTAGTTCAATTGTCTCAAACTAGAAGGAAGGCAATGCACAGTAAATAAATGAGAGGGATCTTCAATGCAGCGACGATTCCAACAATTTTTAAAGTAATCAAGCTGTAATTCGTGCTGACGCGTATTAATTATTGTGTGTGCGCACGCATTGAAACCTAAAAATCCGCTGTTTATATAATGCGGGTCGATGTTAGGCACTATCGAAAAAACCAATAAATTGAAGTCAAGGCACGTCGTAAAGTACTGATTATTCCATAATATAAAAGGAGAGTGTAGTTTGTCCACGTCAAGTATATTTGTTGTCCCTTGAGTTAGCCTGGTATAAATCACCACAACATTCGGTCCCATAAAGGGAAGGGCGGGTCGCACAAAATGGCGTGACCGTACAGAGGTGTGAAACACAAAAATTGGTGTAATCACACAATGGTGTGGCTACACCGTAACAAGAAGCCACTACGTGCTAGTAACGCATATTCGTCAGGTTTAACTTATATAGAATTAAGTATTAATATATTAACCAGGAAATCCTAGAATTTTAGATATTGGTGGCTCTGCCGCAACTTAAACAAGTAAATATAGTTTTAATTTGAACGAAAGTGTTCACTTACCTTGACTAAGGTCTTAAATACTAGCGGATTGCAATCCGCTGCACTCGCACTTGTTCTTGCAAAGAACGTAAGGTCGGTGATTTTAGCTTCCCCTAAGCCGAGAGCTACGGCAGCCCCGCTGCACTTGATAGCACTCGTCGTCAATCTACGTCTGAGTCGTTACGACGGATCCTCTGTGAGGATGATGCAGTTATGCTATTTTCACCAGGGCATGCAGGACGGGCTTAAAAAGTGATGTCTCTTCTTAGTTCTGAGGGCGTTCAACAACTTGCTTCGCAAGGGCCTGAAGCGATAAGCGTGCGCCTAGAGCTGTCTTCGAGCTATGAAATAGCTCTGCTAGAGCTCCTAGAGCATAAAGATGTGCGTCCATGACGCCACCGTGCGCAACGGATAACTCCCCCAGACTCAGCCCGCTTTATTCAACTTCTTATACCCAGACCCAGCCCGCTCATGGTAAGCGTTAGACCTTCAAGGGTAAGGGCAGAGAAAGTATCCTGCTCCTGTTAAGAGAGGCCGAGATGGTTATGGCTTCCGCCATTCCCCAGAAGGAGCAACAGCGCGTGGTGCTAGTTATCTCCAAGCTCGGGGGCCGAGCGCGAGAATGGGCGCTGACGTGCGGCACCTCGGCTGAAGCAGCGTTTTCCTCCTAGACAGAGCTGAAACCGCAGCTTTTACGAGTGTTCTCACCGCCTAAGCAGGAATATCACGGGCGATCGCGTTTCCTTTCCGCCCGACTAAGCAAGAAGAAATTTGGGGACTTTGCCCAAGTGCTGCGTACTCTCATTGCCGGATTAGCAGCCGATCCGCTCCCCGAGGCGATCACAAAAAATAACCGTCTATACGGAGGGCCATCGCACTGGCGTGGCAAGAATAAAAGTTTTTCGTGTGCATCCGCCTTCTTTTGAAGGAACGGAGAACGCGGCATTGAATACCAAATTCAACTTTAGGTTGGCTAGACTTGGTTAGAATGCACACACTCATAGCTTTTCGAGCAGGCCTGAGCCAGTGAAGCTCAACTATGCTGAGAAAGAGGGGGGAGAGCTCCGAGCTGCTAAGCAGCGTGTAAACACCCGACATTGTGTTTTGTCTGTGGAGGCACCTGCCACCTTTTGACGAGTTGTCCCTTTCGCATGGTGTCGTCGAAGCGGCGTATCGCTCCACAACAGTCTGATATGACGCGGGGAAATGAGACCACCCAGTAGGCGCGGGGTGCCCTACTAAAGGAGAACTGAGTTCTGCTGAGCCGCAAAGTAGAAGAAGGCAACAGGACCCAGCCTCGAAGAGCTCCGTGCTCTTGAACACAGAACGACCAGCAAGCCGGGCTCAAAAGCGACCGTGAAGGGCTTCGATAAGCCTAAAAAAACCTTTTCGATTCTGGCGCGGCTGACTGACACCGTCATTGTTCGCTTAGCGAAGGGGATTGTGTCAGGTAACTGTGGACCCTTTGAAAGCGTGAAACGCTGCCTAGTCTTAGACTTGGATGCAACGTATGACCTTATCCTTGGTATGGCATGGTAGGAACACCACGATCCATGCATTGATTGATGGTCGAAGACCGTGGACACAATTTGCACGTCTCCTGATGGGGCTTAGGTGAGTCATGAATCCACCTCTGCTAGGAAACAGAAGCACTATTGGTGCGGGCACTGACCGGGAAGATCAATGTGTTTGAGACCAGAGTATCCGAGTTACCGAACACAAACGGGTATTGGACAGGAGTCCCGAGCTCGGTTCGTGGGCTGAACGTGGGTGGCACGGAACATACTGAGCGCTGCTCAAGTATCAGAGTAGTCGCTGCTTGCCATGCGTGATATGGTGGGCCAAGGGCCGAGGCATCGAGGGCGAGACCCTAGTAATGCAGCGCGCAATCCAATGGACGAAGGCTGCGGAAATAGCAGCTCTTTGTCGGATGTTGTCAATAACATCAAGGATCCGATGGAGGGAGCGGGGACACTGGATTACGCTGAGTGTGTCTTCCCACTGGTCTGGGTGAGACGTCATCCCTCCGTGAAAAGGCAACGTCGAAGCCTTATGTTATATGCAAGACGCAGGGCGTCGACCCTGACCCAGGGTGTGTCTACCGTAGCCGATAGCGCACAGCTATACACCATTATCAACGGTATGACGCGAAGGATGACGGCATTGTCACCCTCGAGGCTATTGCCGCTATAGATGAACTACTTGAGCTGGGCGAAATGTCCTTTGTAGGGCTCGGCGGTGCCTTGAAGGCAGGCAATTAAGCCGAGTTGGTCATTATACGACCGAACGAGAAGGTTAACTCATCGCCGCTTCTGAATGAAGCTGTCCTGGAAGAC